CGTAGGCAGGAAGGCGAGTGCACACGAGACGGCACTTAACCTAGCCTACGAAGGCCATATCGACATTATACTGATACAGGAGCCTTTCGTCCGACCACAGGAAAGAAGACTCACCCGAACTCACCCAGCCTACGAGACCTTTGCACCAATAGATGACTGGATTGAAAGCAGACCGAGGGTGATAACCTACATACGCAAAGGGACTGGACTTAGAGGGGAGCAATGCCGACCACTATCTGCCCCATCTACAGACCTACTATTCCTTCAGGTCCTATGTGACCGCCACTACCTACTAACAATCATTAACATATACAACGCACCCCAAGCAGCTTCCCAAGGCGGCAAGGCCATTCAAGATATCCTAGGCCAGTACCACCTTGCTCCGCCAAACCGATATATACTAGCAGGGGACTTCAACCTACATCATCCGAACTGGCAACCAACGACGACGTACACCTCCCCAAAGGCCCAGGACTTGGTCGACTGGGCAGAATCTTTCGATCTCGTACTTACATCGCCAATCGGTGAACCGACACATAGGGCAGGTAACGTCCTAGACCTTTCCTGGGCTTCAGCCTCGTTGCCAGGAGTCTCTACAAGCATCGAAACCTCCCTTAACACAACCTCGGACCACGAAACCTTGCTTACCTGGGTTCCACTCCCAGCGCTGGACAAGTCCAAGCCGACCTTAGGCAAATTTCGGCTGGATACGATGGACGAAGAGCTTTTTCTCAGCACCCTACAACGGAACATACAACCAATAAGAGGGACAGCGAGAACGGCAGACGACGCCGAGTCACTGGACCGCGTAGCGCAACAACTGACAAACGCCCTCATCGAAAGCCTTACAGCCTCCACAAAACGATCCAAAGGACTCCGACAAGGACGTGCATACTGGAACGAAGAATGCAAGCGAAAACATCAAGAATTTACTAACAAAAAGAGGGACACAAGAAGGCTTCAAGCTCTAGGGATAACCCGCTCAGAACACCTGGAGGAGATTGAAGCGCTACGGCAGGACTTCGTCCGGAAACTTCACAAGGCGAAGGACAAATATTGGAAAGATAGAATCGCTGCAGCCTCGACCAGTAAAGAAATTTTTGAAATGGCGGGCTGGCATAAAAGTACGGGAAATTTTTATACCCTGCCATTACGCGACCCCGAAAACTCGGACCGATTCATCTCCAAGCCAGACGAAAAGCGAGAATTATTCGCCCGCGTACTCCTCCGAAACACGGACAAGGCCGGCGATATACCCAGCGAGCTGCGAGCACCGGGACCCGATCCGAAGCTCCCTTTCCCCCGTGTCACCGCAAAGGAAGTCCAAAGGGCTATCCTCCAGGCCGGCAACACCAGCCCCGGAACCGATGGCATTACAACTGCAGCCCTAACAACTGCTTGGCCAGTTATCAAAGAAGTAGTCGTTGCGCTCTTCCGAGCCTGCGTCGAAGTTGGATGGCATCCTACATGTTTCAAAGAGGCAACGCTCGTTATTCTGGCCAAGCCAGGCAAAAAGGATAAAACGGCAGTACGCTCATATCGACCTATTGCCCTCCTATCCGTACTTGGGAAAGGCCTTGAAAGACTTATTGCAAAACGCCTCTCCTGGGTCGCAGTAAAGCACCGAGTCCTGCATAGCCAACAATTCGGAGCGCTCCCACAACGATCGTGTAGCGATCTGATTTCAACTGTAATCCATGATATAGAAACCGCTTGGCAACAAGGAAAATTTACCTCTATGCTGACGATGGACATCAGAGGTGCATTCGACTCCGTCCTACCAGGCAGACTGGCACAGCGCCTCCACCGACAAGGCTGGCCGGAAAACCTGGTACGCTGGGTTTATAGCTTTGCCACGCAGCGAAAGGGGAGAATACGGCTAGACGGGGAAACCGGAGACACCTTTGATCTCGAATGTGGACTTCCGCAAGGATCGCCCGTCTCGCCGATCCTCCTCCTTCTATATGTCAAGCCCCTATTTAAGCTGGGCACCTGCAGACCTGGACGCAAGCGCTCGCGGTTCGGCTACGTGGACGACATAGCTATACTGTCAAGCTCTAGTTCCCTAGAAGAAAATTGCACTATACTGGCCGAAGAGTGGAAAGCAGCACTCGACTGGAGCATGTCTGAGGGTATCACGTTCGACCCCGACAAGACTGAGCTAATACACTTCACAAGAAGAGGGAGAGATGCAAACCCACCCATTACCACTACGCAACAGAATGGAACGATCCACACTGTTCAACCCATCAAAATCGGTGCTGCACTCAGGTGGTTAGGCGTCTACTTCGATAGAAAGCTTAGCTTTAAGGCCCATGTCAAATTCGTCTCAGCTAAAGCTCTACAGGTTGCTAACGGACTCCGGTCGTTAGGAAACACAATCAGAGGGGCCCCAACACGACTACTCCGTCAAGCTGTAATCGCGTGCGTGCTCCCCGTGCAATTCTACGCCTCGGAAGCATGGTGGCCGTCTGCCAGACAGAACAAAAATGGACGCATTATCTCAAACCGGGTCCAATCCCTAGCTGACCAAATGGATCGAACGCAGAATACCGCAATGAGAGCCATGCTTCCTGTATATAGGACCACGCCAATACCGATCCTGCAACGGGAAGCGGCACTACCGCCAGCAGAAATCGCACTCGACGCAAAACTCTATGCGGCTTCTGTTAGATTACACAAACTGGATAGCCGCCATCCCTTACGCAGGAGGCTCAGACATCCTACGGGCCCCGATTCGAGGTTAAGGCGTATGGCGAGCCTAACCCCAGATACTGCAGAATATATAGATCCTCTGCAAATACCGCCCTGGGAGCAGGCTGGCGAATGGACCATCACCCTCGCCAAGATCGGTTATATCCCAGGACAGTCAAAGGAGGAGGCTGCCCGCTCGTTTCTACAAAGGATAAACGAGTTTTCAAAGCGCGATATAGTAATCTATACAGACGGCTCGCTGGCTACCCATAGCGACAGGACCTTAGCTGGAGCAGGCTGGGCTGGTTATCAGGCCGGTAAAAGACTACTCTGCGAGTCCGAACTACTGGGCTCTCAGATAGAGGTATACGATGCGGAAGCCCACGCAGCACTACGGGGGCTTCAGGAGGCTGTAAAGCTTCCGTCCAACAGCATGGCAGATAACGTCCACATCTGCCTCGATAATCTCGCGATTGCGGGTAGGCTCATCTGTCCAAGTCCCGGAAGCAGTCAAGCAAAGTTCACCGCCTTCCAAGAGCTGTCCAAAACCTGGTCACAGAGAGAGCGAAAACCCTGGACATCCCCGGGACAAGTGTATATCTGGTGGTGCCCAGGACACGTAGGCATCCCCGGAAACGAAGAAGCAGATGTCCAGGCCAAAGCGGCCTGTGAGCAACCACCCAAGACACAACACCCGGCCTCATTCGCACATATAAAGAGAATCGCGAGATCCTACACTTGGAAGAGTTTCAACGATCGATGGGCCACTACCTGCCCTCAACAGTATCGAGATCTAGGGATCGCTATCCACCCGCGACCCCCCGAACTTGGCCTGCCCCGGCAACACCTAGGCAGATTACTCGCAGCGAGGTCGCACCACGGGGATTTCGTGACCTACCACGAGAGACTCCAGCATCGCGACGCACTGCTCAACTGCGGGTGTGGAAAGACAAAGACACCAGTCCACTTCTACTTTTGCAAGCGCGGCCGCAAGGCCACGCCCGGTCATCTAAAAGCGCATATGGCCAAGAATAGTATAGATTCCCTCCTAGGCACGGCCAAGGGAGCTCGTTTGTTTTGCCAATGGGCGGAGGAGACCAATTTCTTTACTGAGATCTGCCCATCGCACTGAACAGGAATGTTAGATGAAGACAGTCCCCTGTAACATAGATTCGACTAGCATTGACCATGCCGGCACTGCGCCCGGCACGTCTCACGTGATGAGACGTTAAATTTCAATCAATCAATCAAAGTCAGGGACTTTGGTATTGGTCTCTTTTGGTGAAGACATCTGGTACGGTGGCGTAGTGGCAAGGATTGCAACCCCTAGCACGGCGTAACAGTATTCAACAATAGAGATGCACTGATATGCAACCTTGATTCGTACCTATGTGCCTCTGCCTCGTTACAACAGTGCTCGGTCCGCGCTAATTTTTCTTACGATCTGCCTAGGGGGCGGCTCCGGGGTCGTAGAATGGTAAACCCATCGCTAGTCAACGAGCTCGGTAGTGTGAGCCTGCCCTCGTTAGGTAGCCCGCCCAAGTAGCTACGGACCTCAAATTGTCGGGGGCGGTGAGCGTACGCCTCACGTACGCGTAGCCTCTGCTGCTCTGCTGTAGGGCAGTCCTGTCCTACGCCGCGTGTTTCCCGTTGCAGTTCATATAACGCTTTTTGCTACTAGGTGCCTTCTTGGTGCAGTCTTTTTCACCCTTAGGCGTACCGGTGCAGCGTAGACGCCGTAACGCGCCGTCTTCTCACAATGCTTCGTGATATAGTCGTATTCGTAGTACTAGTAGCACTGTCGGACCTGGAGATTGCCGTCGTACGGCTCGTAATCGAATATCTAGGCCTCCTGTATAAGCCCTTTGGAGCATAATTCCATCGCCGCCTCTACGCTGTCAACGTGTAGTATCAGGCCCGTATACGGCGGCATGAGTGAATCAGTCGCCGAGCACGCCTGAATCCCAAACCTTAACTGCGTTTCACGGCCGCTCTGATTGTTTCAAAGCACAATCTTCGCCACCATCAATCGGCCATGTCTGTTTTACACGGGGACAGCATGGTATCTTCTATACATAAGGAGTCAAGACTGTTTGTTCGTGAGATTGCGGTCTTTAGTGATGCGCAACTTGACCACTATGTCGAATAACACGGTTTTTATGGTGGCGCAGCGGAAGTCGACGTAGAAGATCCAGAGAGCCTACCAGAGAGCTTTATTGAAAGACTTGAGGTATTGGAAATCTTCACACCGACGCGTACTATCTATCTCTAATCAGCTATCAGAGACCGAGCACAGAACGTGAGAGATGCTGTCTGGTCCGAAGCGCTTGACCTTGACCAACTCCATATTGAACGCAAAGAACTCGAGACAGCGCGCCAATAGAGGGCTGGAGTAAGGTGGCTTCCATAGATATGTCGAGGAATATAGGCAAAAGTGTGAAATAATAGGGGACCGCCAGCCACAATATGGAAATATCGGCACAACAAAATCCGACGCTGAATATAAGGCAGACCTGAACAAAAGCTGGGACCAGCAGCAATTTCGGCGCGAACATTAACAACGCAAGCTGCGCGATAGCGGGGGCGAGTTTGCCGAGTACGTCGAGGAAGCAAAGCTTCGACTGACGCGGAACGGCTTCACTCGATCGTTTGAGCTCGATGAAGAGCCGCAACGGCAGGACAAGCTGACGACCTGGATTGAATACCTCGACTTTGAATATGCGTGGTATGAATGGCATGCACGTTCTGTCAAGCTTGAGCAGCAAGTGTACGACGACGCCTGGGAGAAACTAGTAGACGAGGGGGTGCTGAGACCTCACGAGACTGATGTTTCTAAGATTGATCTGGCGTCTCAGCGTCTGAATGAAAGATTAGAAGCCCAGAAAGCTGTAGAAAGTGCCAAACTGGCCGCTACGTCGGTCTACGCATGGGCGCAAAGCGCTAGGCAAGACAGAAGTTCCGAGCAAGAGGACGCCGGGGGTAGGATTCACGCGGCAAAGGAAAGGCTGGATCTAATCAGGAGGCGGAACGAGCTTATTGGAGAAGTTGTCGAAAAGCAACGTGGGCTTACAAGCGAGCCAAGAGAGGTGTGAGACGGCAAAGTTTTCTGCTGCAATGGCTCCTGGAGAAGATTTCTACTATAGAAGCAAAGTTGAATGAAGCGCAAGAGTCCAACGTCGGAACACACGCAAGGCGTGGCACGAAGAGAAGGCTGGAAGGCTTTAAAAATGGGGCTTCAGGTTCGAAGAGGCGGAAGCAAAATAACGAAGAACCTACATCAGATTGCGAGTCTGCTGGAGCTAAGTACGCCCATTTCGAGGACGCAGCTGACGACACGCGAACCCCAAAGCGGTCGGGAGGAGGCGTCCAGGCCCCAGCAACCCAACACGGAACATCTGCAATATCGCAAAGTTCTAGTAGTCCTGCTTCGGGGTTACGGGTACTCGGTCAAGACGACCGATCCAGCTATAATGAACTCCTCGTCAACGACACTACATCCAAACACTGCAAGAAGAAGCGCGAAGAAATAAAGACAATCCCATGTCCTCCACAACTTAAACCCGTACGTGGCCGGAAAGCCAGCTCAATAACCGTAAATCCAGCCAAACTCACAGCTCCAATGCTCCGTCGCATTTCCCGCATTGCCGAACGTGCTGGAAAAGTTAAAAATTCTGGAGGTCATTTCTGGTGAACACCTTCTCTGTAGAATTGATGGATTCCTCGCCTGATTCTGGCGTCGGAGCCACTCCTTGAGTGGGCTTGATGTAGACTTGCTGCGGAAGCGACGATCGAGAGAGGTGGCAACCTAACTGTCCCGATTCCAGATGAATCGCCTCTTACGCCAGGGACACTGCCGTCTGTTGAGCTACGCTTTGCGTACTGCCAGATCCAATTTTACGCCAACTTTGCGTCAAATTTGTGTATGATTTTTGCCACTTGACACCGCTTTTGAAGTATAGCTATCAAGGACAAGGTGTCAGACGGAGTTGACGGACGAATTTGAGATGATTTTTCTTTCGCAGAAGCACATTGCTGAAGGTCGATTTCTGCCTGATGGGAGACCGTTTCCGGGAGTATCTCAGTTGGTACTTCCCGGAACTTTGGGTCGTCTGCACTAGCCACGGGACCCGTTCGAAGGCCGGCGGTCTTACCCTTACAAGCGCCGGAAGAGCATCCTGGAGCTTGGAATTTCAACTCTGCAGCTCTCTCGAAAAGGAATTCAATCGATACAACACGGCCGTGGAGAATCTCAAAGAATGGGTTCTTGCCACCGTCAGTGCGTCAATGCTGTCCTGAAGAACGTTCTCTGCGACACTGATACTCAGAGCTCTAGAAGATCGGGAGTACCCAGGGTGCCCAGAGAATGACAGACGCTCGAGAGGAGTATCTTGAAGCCGCTGCGACTCTCCACAAGATGCCTGAGGACTTCAATGCCTGGATCTCACGTTGGGAGTCAGCCATGGCAAACGGTGTTATCAATATGGCAATCGATTCGTAACGAGCGTTTACGTTGGACAGTGGCCTCGCATCGTACGCGGGTCGAGGGCGCAAAGCGATGGAAGCGCCGATGGTAATTGACGGGGAACGGGCGGGACTCCAACAGAATTTTCACCACCCCAGGCGAATGAAAGCGCCCACGCGTCGAGCGTGGAGCGTAGCAGCAGCGAGAGCGTAACGAAGAAGCAAATCGACAGTGAACGAGCGAGCTTCGAAGAGAAGATTACCAACTTGGTCCCTCCCGAGAAGATCGAGGTTATGGGGGTTTTAATGGAGCGCTGGTAGAGTTTTGTCACTGAGATGGTACTCTGTCGACTTTTACCGCTGTCAGAATTCGATCGTCTCCGAAGAGCCCTTAATGTGTAGTTGACGTTTTTCGCTGACCTTGTTCTTCCTCGGGTGATTGCAGAGTCTATGGTAACTTGTTGCTGCTCTATCCACTGTAGCAGGGCATCATGCTTCTTTAGGCATCCTTGAAGATACTCCATCCTTGACCGGTAAATGTATGCCCCTGGTGGGTCGTCCTCCGCATCTCATGCCATACTAGAAATCCTGAGCTCAAATTCATCATGGCACCGGAAATGAGAATCCCGAAACTCGAGCCAATTGTGCAGCCAGTTCTAACGGCATTACTACGTAGTACACAAAAGAACCGAACGGTGCTGCAGAGCGTGCCGGAGGGTCCTCAACGCCAGGGCCAAAGCTCAGTCCCCTGACCTTGACTTCTATTCTATCTTGTTCCGATACCGGAACCTCCCCTTTCGTATACAAGTCGAATGTGGGGACCAGGGTGGCATCAAAGTAATGGTGGCCCACGAGTGGAAGAGTGATGCCGTCGACAGTGACGTCCGCATCGACTTGGAAAGGGTCTGCGGTGTTGGCTGAGAACTGGTTGACGGCATTACCAACAAGGTTCAGGGAAATGTCGGTAGTTCGCAGCAGATTGGCGGGGAGCAGAGTCCATGTCCTCATCGAGAGAGCACTGGCTAACGAGCAAGGGTAAATACTGGTGATTTCGTACTATGGTATCAGGCCAAAGTTTTTCACCCCTGCCAAGTACCTCCGTATGAGATCAATGCGCACGCTATACTAAATTAAGCTTAGCTCACATTTGAGTACTTCCAAACCCAAGATTTTTCCCTCTCTAATTTATCTTCAGCATTATCAACGTAGCTATGGAGCGCCGACCACGAGATATCAATAAGAAGCACTTGACAGAGGCTGACCGCCTACGAGTCCAGACGCTCTATAGTATGTCTTTCGAGACCGATATTTCTTGTTCAAAGACCGTGGTTCGCTCAAGCCTCCTCGCCAAGTACGGTATCGCTATAATTGATCGAGATGAATTCACTAACGAAGTCCACCGAGACTATAGTTAAGGTGACCATAGACCCCAGTTGAGCCGACCATGACCTCGCATGATGTTAAAGAATTGGGTCCAGGTGACTATAGTGGGGTAGATAATCGCTCAATTCTTATTAGTTAGAAAATATCTGAAATGAATATTAAGTCTAGCTGACTGTATCGATAAGAACGATAGTATACTAAGTAAGAACTAATTTAAAATCGATTTGGAATATCACACCTGAATTTTTAAGATCGATTCCGGTATCCGCGACGCTATCGAGCTTACTACGCCTTTAAAGCCCTAGAAGGCCACCGCTCCTATCCCTCTCCTATAATTACTTACGTAATAGCCCGCTACTTTGAGGCCGGCTCTAGTACGTGGGCCCGAATAGTACTAAATTCGTCTAGTAACTCTACTATAACCTTCGTATAGTCCTAGTAACTAAGGCTTCGATGAAAAAAACGGATAAGCTTTACTACTTATACAGCGAAAGGTCGATCGTGTATAGATAGCGTTTTAAAGGAACGCTAAGGTAGTACGCCTAGTAGGAAATAGACGAGCCTTACTATATTAGATCTTAAGTTAAGTTAATAAGGGATCGATTTGAAATTAGTTTAGAATCGATTCAGAATCGAATCAAGCTTATAGACTCCTACGGATTACTAATTTATTTAGCTAATAGAGCTTTAATAGAAAGCTACAACCCCTGCCTGAACTACCGATAAGTGTGGTAATGCGGCACTTAAATTCGTCCTCAGGGGTGGGATGCTGCTGATGTGCAGAAGATGCTCGACTATTTTTTGTCGCGACAAGTCGTAGTATCTGCTAATTGGGGTTCTCGTCGAGCGTATACATCTCAACCATACGCTCAAGTGGATAGACCGTAACGTGGTCTAGACGCTCGCAAGAATCGCGGCGAGAGGGCGTGCTGCGCGCCTTCTATCGTGAGGGGACGGGTTCGCCGACGAGCGTTATGGATAGGCGAGGTCCGATAAGGGGTCGGGTTAACGATTCGAATTCTGGACCGGCTGTCGAGTTATATTCCGCCGACGTAGTGCTTGACGGTCGACTGGCTAGGATGCTCGTAATCCTAAACTGCACCAATCTCCCTATTATCGCTAGGTAGGCGAAGTCAACAAGGTGGGCAGCGTGCCGTAAGGGTTGACTAAACCCCCTTGTGTGTCAGCTGCGGGATTCGAACCCGCGACTCGTCACCGACCCAAGTGGGCGAGGCTCAAATCGGGACTTATCTACCAGCGAAGTGACCAACTACACCAGCCGACAGGCTAATATTATTTCGCATTAGAATCGATTTAAAAGTAATTCCGATTTAATTTACTTACCCTAACCTCCGTATTATATAACCGGGCGGCTCTATAGGCGTAATCGTAAATAGTAACCTCTTCCTAAGCTTAGTTACCAATTTATATACCTCTAAATATAGAGCGGGTATTTTAGATAATAGGGATGATATGTTAGGCAATCTTGGTAGGCTTTGCCAAGTCCACAAAGGTTATCACGTGACTCAGCCCTTTGGGCTCAAGTCCGATCTTCTTGCTCAATAGCCTTAGATAGAAAAGCATGCTTTTACAACTTCATAAATAATTGACTACCATTGCGTGTAATACGATATCTAAATTAGCTATAGTAAAACTAATATTGTAGACTCGATTAAGAATCAATTTAGAATTAATTATAGAATAGTTTCGTTATATCTAGGCTAGAGTTACTACGAAAAATCTCTACGGATTTAAAAAGGATAAGTGTAGTCGGTGAAATAACCCGACTATAGTCAGCTTATATTTGGAGGGCCCTATAAATATTTGATCAAAGTGGGGGTTAGTCGGCTAAACTAGGGGGTCTATGGTCACCTTAACTACAACTACAGTACACCGCCCCAGGGATCATAATTGTTAGTACAGTGACTTACTAGGGTCCTGCTAGAAGTCACTTTTCTATGGAAAGGAACAAATTAGCACCTCAGCACCGTAGCACTACAACACCACTGACTTCAGATCTTATTCGTGCCCCGTGAGGCATACCTATTAGAATATTGCTAACAATTTGAGTATTTCTGTGACACTTCCAAAGCTGCAGCTATTACGTTTCAGTTCCGACACTTTATCCGTCCCCTACTAGTGTTATCATCTGCCTTCCTATCTTGGGTGCAGTATTGATACTACGTCCGAAAACTCACAACGGTATGGAGAACGTGGGGCCGGTCCTCGACGGGATAACAAGCTGATGGGGGTGACATTAGCCAATAAGCCAGAATTGCCAGAGCAAGTTAGAAGCGAAAGATAGACTCCGATGTCCACAAGTTCCTCGAGAAGCAAAAATTAATGTTAGCGAGCAACGCTTCATTAATAGTGGTTATCCGCGTTTGACATTCGTAGAGCATTATCAAAGTATAGCCGATGATATACAGGGTCTTCAATCTGGAGTATGCGAAGTACGTCGTTTGGCCCGGTCGAACGACTGTATACGTGAATAAGACTTTCTTCTAAGGCTTCCTCAACTTCGTTATTTTGGGCGCCGACACCCTGTATGTTTGTTACACGAAGTATTTAGTACTGTTACAGATTACAAAATCGGCTTCCTCCTTGTGAGCCTTTAAACCAGATTTGGCGCCGAGACAATTTCCTGTCTCAGAAATTGTACTGTGTACTGTAATTTTGTTCACTCCGATAATATGTGGGTTGTTCGTTATCCCCTGGTCATCGGACTTGGTGTGGACCTGTACCAATAGGCTTACACACAAAACATCTATAATAAGCTACTCACCCAATGAGAATTTTTCTTGATTACAGTATACCACATTCCAAATTATGTTACAACCATTATATGTCGCATGAAGATGTTTACAGTAATTTGGTACTGTACTTAGGATACTAGCTTATTGTCCGTGCTCCGAACTTTTAAAAGTCTACTATAGGAAGGTAACACCGATCTTGCAGGCTATTCTAGGAACGGAAAGTTCTAGGAACGGAAAGTAGTAGGGAAAGAGAGGTAAATGATTTTTAAAGAAAGTCAAGCGACAACGGAAATAGATAATTCACTATATATAAATAACCATCACCTCTCTCCGTTATGATACTAGTAGCGAGTACTCGATGAACAAGTGGATGAAGTGCATCTATTTCGTACCTTGCTGTCATACAAAAATCCCTTGAACGTTCATCCATCTATTTGGTCCAAGACTGTCTCCGGTATGCGGTTCACCCTCACTTTGACTGCTATTGCAGCAGCAGCATCCACAGCTGTCGCCAAAAACCCCAGCCTTCTTATCTTCACCAAAACCGCTGGTTTTCGCCACGATAGGTATGTGCTCCCTCAATTTCCATGCTGGATGTAACTAACACTAGACTCACCAGTATCCCCAGCGGTATTGAACTCGTCACCTCTGTCGCTGAGAGAAAAAATTGGTCGGTAACCGCAACTGAGGATTCCTCCATTTTCACTTCCAGCAACTTAACCTCATTCACTTCTTTGGTATTCATCTCCACTACCGGTGACTTTTTGACAGCCAAGGAGTCCGATGGCTTGTACAAATATTTGGTAAACGGAGGCTCTTGGCTCGGTATCCACGCAGGTACGTCTCTCTTCGATAAATTTGTTCGCGCCTAACAGACTTATCTTAGCCGGTGACTTTGGAGACGCAATGCCATCCTGGTATAACACTCTTGTGGGTGGACAGGTAAGAACCAGGCATTATCTGTACAGTCTGTAGTCGCCGCTAATTTAAACACAGTTCGCCTCTCATCCTTGTGGCACCGACGCGCTCTGCAGCAATATCCAGCTGGCAAATTACCCCCCATGTGAGTTTTCGTTCAACACGCCATATCTTTTAACACTACTAACAATCATGGTAGTTGGAAATATCCGCCCCGATACCATCAATATCACAAACTCTGAGCATCCTTCCACGAAAGGGCTCCCCTTAAGTACTATCCGTGCAGATGAGTGGTACTCGTACAAAACCAACCCCAGTCAATCGTCGAACTATTCCGTCTTAGCTGTGTTAAATCAGGACTACATTGATGTCTATACACCAGAGTCAATCAGAATGGCGCCGGACCACCCTATTTCTTGGTACTCCATGTTTGAGGGTAAGGCTAGAGCCTTTTACACCGGAATGGGACACACCAATGAGTCCTACGCGGAAGACTACTTTATCAAGCATGTTACTGGAGGACTGGAGTGGGTCACTGGCACGACGGACTAAATTCTGTCTCTTGTTTCTAATAAGGCCGGGATTTCGTTATATGTCAGAGATGGTCCGTGCATACCCACTACTACTTAATTCCAGCTCACCTGCACTAGCCTAGCTTACCTGAATACAACACACTTCTATCTCTCTGTGTCCCCCAACAGAAAATGCGCGTTTAACAGCCAAAATACCATATTTCCAATTGCCTTTAACAGCTGTAATTTTCTACTGCTAAACTAATAAACTGAAATGTTTGCAGTTGGGCAATCAAGTAAACCAAACAAATCTATGTTCGTGATGGCTTCAAATCAACTCAAACTTAAGGCCAAACTTGTTTGATTTGGGTTGATCTCAACGCTGCACGACTGGAACATGCGGCGCAACAAATCCTAGCTTGAGGATCACGAGAGCTCATTGATGAGTACTCGCAACGTTTAGGCAAGGAAACTCATGAGGCACGTACTATCAAGGGACGTAGACATGTGACCTGACAACAGCCAGTAGCACCCAAGCGAAGAGGAAGTCCACGCAAGAGTACCACCGCGGCGACATCATCGCAATCGAAAGCGCGCCAACAGGAGATAGCAAATCAATGAAGCAGTCGCCTGCTTGACAAGTAGTAGACCATTATTACACCTGTATTGAGTCTTAGCGTATATCGTGCGTAGTTTATACTCGTACGAAATATAATTACGAAGTATAGTATCTAAGAGGTAAAAACTCTAAATGTTAGGTAACCTTGGTAGGCTTTGCTAAGTCCACAAAGGTCACCACGTGACTTAGCCCTTTGAGACTAAGTCCGACGTTCACGATCAGTAGCTTCAGATAGGAATACATGTTTTTAACAATCTCAAAATAATCACTTACCATAGCGTGCAACCATGGTAGTATCTCTTCCTCGACAAGGGACCTGTCAGATAGGGCACCAGGTTCCTAGGTTCAGAAATAATATGGCACTAGAGAAGACTATTGTCACTTAAAGTTCAGAAGGCGAAAAGAACCCCTTTTCTCAAAAGTAACACCAAAGTAACTGTCCACTTAGGGGTCAGACACCTGAACAATGTACCTCCGATATGTTCTAAAGAATCTATAAAAGACAGAGCAACGGGAGTTCGAGAGGACAGAGAACGATACACCTCATTCATATACAACCTTACGCACTTCTGACTATTCGATTGGACACACGTGATATTCGACAATTAAGGGTCTCACTGCCTCTGGCATCATTTGTTTTTTCACAGAACTTCATTTAGGCATGTCACGGCCTCCCTTCGAGAAGATCACAATGTCAAACAAATACGCCAACAAAATCTTCCTAGCCTCTGGCAAGTACTGGGAAGAATGGTCAGCAGAGTTCAGAGGCAAAGCCAAAGCCATGGATCTCTGGAAGTACATCAGACCTACTAATCGACATTCCTGGCCTACACCTCCTGAGAAGCCAGTCGTGAAAGACTACACAGTCGACAAGAACCTGGAAAGGGCTCTTCAGGTGGCCTGGAGAGAAAGCCAGATTGAAATCGCAGAGCGCTCTGAAAACTCGCCAGATATCGAAGCCGCACCTGAGATGGTTCCTACAAAACCATCTGAGCTATCAAAGGACGGCAAGGCTGAGTATGCCATCGACACTTCTACGTATCAACAAGACCACCGAGAGTACAAGGAACACCGGGACCATAGGATCGAGCTCAGAAACTGGGTAACTGAGCACATCCATCCAGATCTCAAGAAACACCACTGTGGTGAGGACGAATCTCTGGATCAGTGGTACACCAATCTTGCACTTGTAGGACAAGCATACGAAGAGGACGCAAGACCGGCAGCCCGGGACGCCTACTTGAGTCACCTCAAACCGTTAACTAGTCCACCAAAGGACATGAACGACTAGATTGATACCTGGGAAAAGGTAGTCCTCACTGGAAAGAAGAAGAAGATTGGAGAGACGATCAACTCTGACTCCTGGGGAAGAGACCTTCTGAAGGCCCTGTCCGGGATATGGCCTACATGGACGACAACCTTCAGCATGACACGCCAATCAGATATGGTAGCAGACAGACTCGACATCGGGGACATTTCTGCAGAGATGCGACGAGTTGCACTCATGAAGAACAGCGTGCTACCAGCAAAACGTGCTGTGAGAGGCTCGTTTGTGACGTTCAACCAGGACGTATGTGACGATGCAGAAGAGAATCCTCTCACTCCTACAGTGCCTCGCAAGACTACCAATGGCAGAAGGAGTGGAGGAAGAGCAAAACGAAAAAGGGCAGAATCGACAACAGTCGAGGACAAATCGGCAAGTTGGTGCCAAGCGTGTCTAGGCGAGCACCCACTACAATCATGTTGGCACGTGTTCAAAGACAATAACCCCTACTACGAAGAAGGCAAAGAAAACAAGACTGTTGCAAGACTTGTTGCCCACAGGATCAGGACAGAAAAAGGTCTGAAGGAGGAAATAGAGAAGATCAAGTAGGCAGCAGTCAACAGTTGACTAGCTCAGTTCGAGCTCAAGATGGGCAAGGTGCCAGCGAGCTTCCTGATAAGGAAAGGGAGCACCTATCCCCTGAAGAACTCGACAATTCTTGATTCCGGAACAACTCTCCATGTCTTCAACGAGATCAGCAGGTTCCAAAATTTCCGAACGCCAGCCACAAGAGACGTGATCTACGCAGGCAAGGACATAATGAAAATTGAAGGATACGGAGACGTTGATATTGAGGTACAGGGCGACCAAGGACCAAATATACTGAGGCTTCATGATGTGGCCTGGTGTAGAGGGTTCGCCTATAACCTCGTATCTCTTCGACTGCTTCGACGCAAGGGGTACTGGTGGGATAACAAGTATCCGAACAACTCATTACGACGGAAGGACAATTCTCTGGTGTGTCAAATCACGGAGATGTTCGACCAAGTCGTAATAGAATACTTGCCACTGGAAATAACCCCACAAACCTTCTTTACACGTCGCAATCAACACATTTCTGCTACAAAAGGTAAGCCAAAACTGGCCACAGCAGAACGCTGGCATCTTCGTATGGGCCACCCAGGCCCAGAGGCACTGAAGCACTTGGTTAGCCATTCAGAAGGAGTCAAGGTCGAGGGTCCCTTTGGCCCAAAGACTACTGAGTGTGATGGCTGTGGCACCGCCAAGACTAAGCGACAAGTATCCCGGATTCCAAAGGAACCGGAAACAGAACCAGGAAGCTGCATTGCGGTGGATTTCCACGATCTCGAAGAAGACGACGAGGGCTTCTCAAGACTGTGTCTGTTCACCGACAGATACTCCGGATACTCATGGGACTACTACATGAGAGACAAGACAGCAGAGTCAATTATTGAAGCACTGGATGATGTTTTCGGTATCGTCGAGCGACAATTCGACATCAAACCAAAGTCAATCGAGTGCGACAACGAGATCACACAATCCTTCAAACTGAAGGGGTGGCTCCAGGCACGATATCTCAAAGTCAAGCCCTCTGCTCCACATACACAAGCCCAGAACGGTGGTGCCGAGCGCTTAGGGGGTGTGGTCAAGGAGAAATCGCGAGCTATGAGAGCAAGCTCAAAACTTCCAAGCTTCCTCTGGAAAGAAATTTACCAGGCAAGTGTATACCTGTACAACAGGACTCCTAAGTACTTGTACAATTGGAAGTCACCATATGAGCGTTTCTACACTTACGTGGCCAACAGGGACAGGACCACAGTCACAGCAAAGAAGCCTGACCAACGGCATCTGAAAGTATATGGTTGTAAGTGTTACGCACTTACGACAGATACACCTCGGAAGTCAAACCGCATGAAAAAGCTGAGCCCGAGGGCATGGATTGGATACCTTGTCGGCTACAGCTCTACCAACATCTACCGAATTTGGAATCCTCATACGAATAAGGTGATCAGCACACGAGATGTTATCTTCAATGAGGAAGAGACATTTAGTGGTTCGCTAGAGACACTCAAGGATGAGCTCCTCGGTATATCAACAGAGGAAATGGAGGCACTGCTTAACCGAGTTAAGCTCAGGGATGCCAAACAACATGAATCAACAGCTGCCAGACATGCTGAAGACGAGTGTATCTACGAAGTACAAAACATCTACGAAGTTCAAGACCAAGATTCAATGCTTGCGTTCGAGCAGGGTGATGAGGACGAGGACACAAGGATAGCAACCGATGAAGCCGCTGAGCAGACTCACGAGCCAGCTCAGGAGGTGACGACCTGGGTAGGGATGCCTGCTCAGGGGGGGTCCGAAATAACTGAGCACGCTGGAGGGACTGATCGCCCCTATACCACCGCAGTTTTCGCCCCTATCTGTCCCCGTCTCTCTCACCGCCTCCGCCTGCATGTTTATTGGCCGCTGCAATTCGAAGCTCAGGAACCAACGAGATAAGGGATGTTACAGCATCCCCTATACCGGTACCTCGACTGATGTCAGATGTTACGGAAGTCCGGCCAGCAACATGGGCTGCCGCGTTCAACGCAGGCATACTCTCAAGCCCAGCTGGCCAGATGAATGGACAACTAGTCAGTAAGGCAAGGGTCACCAGAATGCTGGACCGAGCCTTTGCTTCGAAAAACAGTGATCCCTCAGGTCCTCCAGTTATTCCTCTGAAGAGGCCTGCAATCAGAGCGAAGCTAGAGGCTGGAGTTAAGGTACACAGGCGTGAGATGCCTCCTTTGCCTAAAACGCACAAGGACCTAACTGGCCAGCCTGGGAAGCGCGAGGAACATCCAATGAAGAGGGAGTTCCAAGAAGCTGAAAGACAGCACCTCGCGAGCCATCGAGAGATGAGCACATGGCGCGAAGTCGCTAGTGATACCCCTAGGGGACAGCCAGTACTTGACTGTATGTGGGTGTACGTATACAAGTTTGACAAGCATGGCTGGTTTATCAAGTGTAAAGCGCGCCTCGTGGTACGTGGTGACCAGCAGGCTAAGTCTGTATACGAACATACATATGCGTCAACTCTAGCTGGAAGGTCATTTCGATCTCTTATCGCAATTGCAGCCAGGTTTGATTTGGA